GATAATTCCGGATATAAACCGGAAATTCTTGGGTTCGCTCGAAAGAGACGCGATCGGCGCGTCGAACTTTTGTATATAATCCTTTTGATATACGCTAACAGACTCCTAGATATAAGAGGTAGGGTCGTTCCTGTAGAGTAAGCCTGTAAGTAAGCGATAAGTTCGAAAAGTATATCGTAAGGATCGTCGTATACACGTACTTAAGGAGATGAGAAACTAATTACGAGGACGGTCAATCGAAGCTATAAAAACAAAAAAGTAAAAAATTTCGGCAATACCACACGACTCTACCGTGAACTCGAGTTGTGTTTAATGTATTAATTCCACAAATAATAATCACTTTTTTGTTTCTCCTGTGACGCACGCGAGTATAATCTGTGAATGAAAATTTGCGCGAATATAGAGCTACATGCGGTATAATGACTGAAGTATATTCGGTTCCAGCAATCTTGTATGCATTTTCATAAAATATCTGCAAATAAAATTGGAGAAACATGCTAAAACACTTAACATACTGTGGGCAAAAATTATTCTTGTGGATTATAACGTAATATATTGCAGATTTACGAAAATTTACGTTTATTTTCCTTCAACATTTATTACTATAATTTAATTTACAAATGACTAATTAGAAGGTGTTATAAATTTAACAATGAAATATTATAGATGTGAATCAAATATATTATAGATGTGAATCAAAGCACATCTGAATGCCACAAAAATGAAATTATTGTCAAAAATTAACAAAAATTAGCTTTTCCCAGAACGAATTGGGTTCGGCATTAATTAGCGTGATCAATAAATGTAAATGTATAGAATGCCGTGCCTTCAATTAAATATAGCAGGAGGTAATTGGATGCACAATTTACAAATTATGAAATATTATGAGATATAATTATGAAATATTGAATGTCAAAGATGTGTTCGTAACCCGTGCGTCGCTGTTTGTCGCGAACTCATATAATTCTTCTATTAATTCGTAATACTCATAATTATATAAATTCATAATTTATTAATTTTTATACTAAAACTATCGAAATTTTTATGATTTTGTTATAATATATTATAGTTTTGCTTAATATGCTAGATAAAATTTCTACTTTTTTTGTATTCAAGCAAATATTTGCTTAGATAAATTCGGAAAAAGAAGATTATACATGTTTCCAAAGTTATAGGGACCAAGAGTTCGTTTCTCCTGGATACATAAATTTATCTATGGCATGACGAAATGCCGAGAAATTTCGATGACATGATTAAAAAAAAGAAATAAAACGAACTGTTTTGAAATTCACTCACTGCGTCACAACTTCACAGCCTGAGAGAAAAATTGTATGTAAATTGAAATTACGATCTCATTTAACTGAAAGAGATATACACGTATATTGCTTAAAGAAATAATAACGTTGTATGATGATATTTAATGATTTTTCGAAACAATATGTTACGAGATGAGACATTTTCGACCTCTTTCGTTCCTTATTTATTTCGTTTATTTCTATTTGGTCTTTAAAAATTCATATTCGTTCTCATTTTTTTCTGGGGTCAATAAAATAATCGATATTGATATGCTCAGTTAAAAATATCAGTCGTAGTTTTTTCTCATTGACGAGGATACTTTTTATTGCATTTTTTATACACATTTTTTATACACATCGAAGAGATAATTTTAATCTTTTTTTCTTACATCTCTCTCTCTCTCTCTCTCTCTCTCTCTCTTTCTCAAGTAACGTATATTTTTATGAGAAAGTCGTATTTTAATTGCATTTTTCTCTCGGCATATGAAGTAGAAAATAACAAGTAGATACGAAAAGCATTTTTATTAGTACGAAGTGTACAAACAGATCGCATAACAAAGAAAGTATCATTTATTGATCGAAACGACAAATTATTATGTGAGCTCTGCGCAAATCAGATCATCGTAAAGATACTCATCTCGATATATTATTAAGATATTATTAACTCATGTCACGAGTTATTTATGAAGTGCGATTATTCATTTTATCTATATAATTTCTCTAATTAATATTTTTATTGCATATCTTTTATAGATATACATATGTAATCATTATCAATACTTGACTTATTGAGTCATTTTTAGTAGTGAAAGCCCTTGCCATACACGAACTTCAATGTACGTCTTTTATCAAGAAATGTTTTTAAAATTTCCTATAAATAATGTATATTAATATAATAAAACATAATATATGTATAATAGATTTAGATAAAAAAGAAATACATGAGCATGCGCCGAAACTTGTTGTTATTAACAACATCTTTTTTAACATTTTTACGAATTTACAAGAGTGACCAACATAATCCGTCACTATTTACTTGCCATTTTATAAATATTTTACTCTATCTCTTCGGCCAATATTATTCAATTATTAATAATTCATGAATTCTAACGAGATCTGATTGCACTGCAAGCTCGTGACACTTTTTTCGATAAGTATAAAAACTCGACGATTACACATATACGTTATCGTAAATCAATTATTAACGGTAAGATTATATATTGTATCATCTTAAGCGGCATGCGTGTTACATTGTCAATATTTATAGCGTTATATCACGATCATCATTCGTCTTCTTAAATTCTTATCTCTTCTAATCTCTGTTAATACAAACATATTCAAAATTACCTCCATTCATTTTTTGTTCTTCAGATAACGTTATATTCTTGATAAATTTTCTATGATATTATTTTGTATAATTTTTATAATAAATTTAACGCAATATGTTCGCCAAATAAAAATTCGTTGTGAACATATGATACAACGATGCAAAGCTGTTTTATAATCGAGCAAACCATTTTCTGGTTATTGTCACTATTTCGACCTCTTATAATCTTTTATCACTACCTTTCTCTTCGAAGACACTGATGACGTTCTGTAGTTAACAGCACTGTATATAAAAAGATGATCATGTGTGTGTATATACAATTATACAAGTATCTATATTTAGACTTAAATTATAGATGGTAACCGAATTTAGGAATCAGCGCAGTGAAAACGGATTTGTTTCGTATCGGGATCTACAATTGATATCGATGATCATAATCGCGGATCGATCAATCCGAAATTGCCTAACGCCACTTAAAGCATACACGTACGTTCAATTTATTGGGAAACGACGATAACTTTTGCTTAATATCTAGTCATTAGATCGTTAGTTTGACCTGAATTTGTGTCATTAAAATAATGGACCAATATTTAACAAATTTTTAAATTAAAATTATTTATATTATTTATGAGAATTCTTTTCACTCTCTTGAGATTTCGAACTTCATCAGAATGCATGTTACATAAATGCGCTATTATAGTTTCTGCAGCTTTTTTCTATTGCATAATATTTTAAAGAAGCTATTATTTAAATATCTCGGAAAACATATTTTAACGTTTCATAATTTTATTATATATTTTGTATTTATTATGATATATTTTCTAGCGATACAGGTTCGGGTCATTTTACGCCTAAATTAAGCATATTCAAGTTAGATTTAACATTAATTTTATGCTAAGCGTGTGAATTTTTGATCAACATTCCCTTAAGTGATATAAGATCGTAATTGCACTATACAACAAATAGGATATCTCCTTTACAGAATTCTGTGAACAATTCACACTCCTTGTGTGTTATTTTATAGCAAATACAATTGATGTATGTAATATTTTCTAATTGTTATTTTTTGCATACGTACTGAAAAACATTATGGCAAATTTCAAATGGTAAATCTTATGTACGAGATTGTTATTTAATACCTAATTTTTTCCTAAGAAAAACAATCATGTATTTAGTATGATTTGTAAACTTCTTTTTATTCGAAAACATTTGTAAACAAGACAAAATTGAGATTGAATTGAACGTATGTTATGATGTAAACATATAAATGTTTACAAATGTGTAACATACGCTAAAATATAAAAATTAGATTTTAGTTCTACGAAGTTGCACCGAAAATGATGATTATCGGTCGTTACTATAAATGACAATAGCAACGAACATATAAATTGTCTAGCTTGAATTTTACTACCGTTGTCGTATTGAAGATGGATTTTAAAGCAAAAAACTGAAACAAACTTTTACCGATCTAAAGTATCTTTGACTATAGCTACAATCTTGGCAAAATATATCGATCTAGCTAGAGATTTCGCAGGAAACTAAAGAAATATTCCATGTATACATATAATATTATTCAATGTATGTCTCTTCTGCTTTTAATATATATATTCCTTAGATTTTTGCAAATCAGCAATCATAACTTTCGGTACAATCTTCGTGTTAAATATAACAATCTTTTCAAATTTTATATTAAATTGAAATTTTGTTCTATGATGTCATATTTTATATAGTGATTATAATGTTCTTACATTATTAACACATTGTTTTTATGTTTATATGCCTTTTCACAGAAAATCAATGCTGCAAGAAGTATATAATAAGCGAATAAGTTATTGTTTGATTAGTTATTCTGATGATATCAATAACAACAATGTAATATTATTATATGTAGTTTACATTGAAAATACCATTTTTTCATGACCATTTTCGTTCAATGTGTATAAATGCCATTTGTTGAATTGTCATTTTGAATTGAATCGGATCAAGTATATTGAGACTATTGTGCGTGCGTGCATGCGTGCGCGCGCGCGTGTGCGTGTGTGTGTGTGTACATAAAATAGGTTCAATTATATAAAAGCCACAGAAAATCAGCAATTACTGTAGAAAACGAAGATGTCTTACAAAATAAACTGCAAATTAATAAAATTACTTTGACTGTTTTATTATTATTATTTCTGTATTTTATGACTGATATTTACGTTTTATTTTACAAGTATATCAAAGTGCACGTAAATACCAGGATAAATTAATAAACGGATGAAAAAAATGGACATGTATTATAATATAACAAAATAAGTATCTTATTTACAGATAGAAAATTACTTACAGATAGAGCATTATCATTTATTTTTTATTGTTAATACGGTTAATATGGTCCATTTACCAAATTAAAACTAATTTCGAAAAAATTGGTGTTTTGTGAGAGACATAATTAGCTTTTTGTAAAAGAAATAACAAGATGCACAAAAATGTTTATGCGTGCGTGATTGCAAATTTTATAATTTCAACATTTTATCTACCTACTAGCGATTCTCTAATTTTTTTATCAATCCAGCGACGATAATACGCTATACGAACGTAAACTCCAGGTCTATTTGCTTTGCCGCAATGTTGACCCCAACTAGTTATCCCGTACAAATTGAAAGCTCCTATTATAAAAAAGAATATGAATTTTATTATAATAATACTATTATTACTATGCAAGTATTAATTGAACATAACAAAATACAATATTTTTTATTTTAAAACAGAATTCATAAACTTTAATTCTTGAATAAAAAATGATAAATAATTATACTGTTTTTTGGATATGAAAAGTTTATATATTAATATTTTCTAGGGATGGGAAAGTTACTTTGTAAAAGTAATTAATTACAGTTACAATTTTTCTCTTTCAAAAAGTAATTAATTACCGTTACAAGTTATTGACTCTGAAAAGTAATTCGTTACAGTTACAGTTACTGAAAAAGTAACTTTAAGTTACTTTTAAGTTACTTTTTTCATCGGAATTTTTACTAGTAGTATTGATACCATTAAGGCTGTATTTAGAAACGTTATCCAACTCTGCCTTCAAGTATTGTTTTACCCTTGTTTTTCATCTAATATTAAACAAGGATGATATACACGGGGTCATCAGAGTAATGCAGCCTAGGATAATTAAAAAAAAAGACTGGCTTACATTTACATGTTATACAATTTTATTCAAAAAGATAAAAAAAATTGTATGGCAAAGACGTTTTTTCGTTAAAGTAATATAAACACATATGAATGTGAATATGAAATAGCACACATATACAACGTTTTTTGTAAAAAAAATTCTTTTTATATTCAGCTAAAAGTTGCAAATAAATTCCAGCATTAATCCAAAATGGTCTACAACCGTTCACTGAGCGCTCTTGCATTTGATTGGCGGATTCCATTAAATCCAAAAATATATTATAGACCAAACAGGTACAAGAGTTCATTGAACGCTTCAATTAAATTTCTTTCTTCTGATTAATCAAATGTTTCGAAGTATTTGTAGCGCCAAGTGGACACTACCGCACACTAAATTGACAAATAAGTTTAAAATATATAAAATAACTATGAAAGTAATTATTAAATTAGTTACTAGTTACTTAAAAGATGTAACTAAATTAAGTTATAATTACAGATGGAAAGAAAGTAACGAAGTTAAGTTACAGTTACTGAAAAAAAGTAACTCTAACTGTAACTTCGTTACAAGTAACGAGTTACTTCTCATCCCTGAATTATTTTCTGAACTTCACTCTATTATTTGCCCATCTCCTATATTACATAAATGTTCTTTTATAATTGCATTCTTTATTATTTTACAAAATTCTATATTATATGAGCCGTTATTGTATACAATTCTTTTACTAATTTCACACACAGTAATTATAATTAATCTATTTTATATATAATTATTTCAACATTACCATTGTGATAACATGCTAAAGGACCTCCGGAATCGCCATCGCATGTATCGATACCTTCATCAAGATATCCAGCACACATCATTCCGTCACTTATGGCACCTTCACCATAAACATAACTAGCTCGGCAAATTGACTGATCCAACAAAGGCACCCAGCCATATCGTAAATCTTTCGATTGCGCTGCAAAAGGATTTATTACATCTTATAATATTCATTTAAAGTAATTCTCTTCAGTATTTAACACCTACTCGTCTTGCCCGTTTCAATACTGCCGAATCCGCTGATCGTGCAATTCAGTCCAGGCGGATATTCGGCATTCTCAGCCGGCAAGCAAATTGGCATGATATCTTTGCCAAGCGGGATGCCGAGACCTTTAAGTAGAACCAAAGCGATATCATTGTTCATTCTGTGGCCTTTACGAAATTCTTCGTGTACGTAATAATCTTCGATGTTGGCTTCTATTTCCGTTCCTTCGTGTATCTGAGGATATCAAATATGATTTAAAGTGTAAAGTGTCACATATTTAGCAAATGTATACAAAATGCCCGGTAAAAAATTTTTTATGCATAAATATGTATAAATATGTATAAACATACACAAATATTTGTAAACATATATATTCATACATTCCTCTTTTTTTTGTAAAATTACTTTTTAGTGTAATAGAAATAATAATAGTAATGTAAAAACATAAAAAATAATTAAAAGGATAATTTTCGCATTGTTCGTTTAAAAAAAAAACAAGTTTGAAAAAAATGTAAAAAAATGCTCATACACAGTTATGCATAATTTTATATATAATTATACACAAGTAATTTTTTTACATTTCTTCAAACTTGATTTTTTCTAAAACAAATAGTGTGAAAATTACCCTTTTAATTATTTTTAATTATTTTTAATGTTTTTCCACATTACTATTATTATTTCTATTACACTGAAAAGTAATTTTACAAAAAGAAGAGGGATGTATGAACATGTATGGACATATTTCATATATGATTACATGTACATGTGTTATGAATATTTATGTATGTTTATACATATTTGTACATATTCATGCATGAAAAACTTTTTATCGAGATGTAGTAAATGTTCTTGGGGATTCAATGATATTTTCATTAGATAATAATTACGTTCACTTACATCCGTGTTATAATCACCCGCACGAACAAAATATGTGCCTTTGTTGTAACCTTCTAAACAATGTGCCGCTGTTAGCACGTGTAGAGGCGATATAATAACAGCACCGCACCAATGATTTGATCGACTGTGCCCTCGAACTCGAATACTAGCCTAAATATTATTTAACAATCTCTTGTATCATCAATCTCGCTGTACATCTGACGCAATATTATTTTAACATAATGAATATAAAATGATAATTCTTCTCTAATTGGTTACCGTAAAAATCCAATAATGTTTCTTCTAAAAGTAGCTTACCTGCCAAGGATAAGTGCCTTTTGGTGCAATGGAGCCATGTACTACTTTCTGAAATATTAAATCTTCATCGCTATCGAAATCTTTGGCACGTTGGCCACAATTTGATGGAAGCAGCTCGTTAATATTTTGTTCCGAATGTTCTTGGCTGTTTATCCAGTATGACTGCTTAATAAAAGTAAAATTAAAAAATAAACAGCAAATCATATTAAAGTTATGAAATTTTGTCTACTTTGAAATTGTTTTAAATAAATGCAATCAATACAACTTATGTCAAGTATTTATATACTGTGTATATATTAAGTACATTGTTATGTTACATTTTACTGTATATCTATTAAGTAAATTCAAATATTAATTTAAATAATTAAGCAATTTACATATACTTCTCTGTACAAATATGTTAAATTTTAATATTATTGTTCAATGCGTAATCTAACAGGAAAAATAACTTTCAATCTAAAAAAACATAATAAAATAAATTAAGATACAATAATTATTTGTTTTATTTACTTCGGCATTGTTAACATCTCCAGGTGAACAAATTACACCTGCGTCCTCATTATGATCGCAATTATGTTGACCCCAGTGATTATGCTCACATCGATATAATTGCGATTCATTTCCATGACAGAAAACCTTTTTTGTAAAAATTAAGAAAATTATCTTAGAATAAGACAAAACACACAGTAGGTAATACTATATATTTTTATATTATTATTTATATTAGTCATTATCTTCTTCATTAAATTAATTATCATCGTGATATGCTTAAAATATATTGAAAATATGTTAAATATGTATATTTAAAGAAATATAAAATAAAGTAAGATAAACAAAAATTTTTAAATTAACAAATTTCTTTTTGCAAGAAGTCAAAATATTTTATGCCACAAATGTAATACCTCATCGAGCCATATTGGTCCTTGGCCAGGTCCAAAGAAACCGTTTTTCTTAGCTATTGCGATACCACCATATCCTAAAGATCTACAAATGACTACTGCCGTAGCATTTGTAAAGTCATCATCGCACACGGTACCCCACACGCCGTGATGACGCACTTCTACTCTTCCTTGTAGAGAATTGCTACCATTCGCCAAGCGCAACTCAAATGGTGCCTAAAACCAAAGATAATAAAAGATATGCAAATCTATTTCTACTTTTCTTCCAACTTTCTTACATCGCAATATTCTGAACTTTCATCGGAGTGATCTGGACAATCGACCACCTCGTCGCAAATGAAAGGAGTCGGTATGCAAGTTGGACTATTATCACATTTCCAATAACCTTCCTGACAAGTATTGACTGCGGTCTTACACACGATCCCAACAGCCTCTTCCGGTTGACAATTATGAACTCCCCATCTAAAAACAAAAATATATGTATAAATAATTCAGTTACGTTGTGCCAATTTTAGTGGAATTATTATAAGCGATGTACATGCGACGCGACATAGCGATCGATTGTCAACATTACAATAAATAAAACAAAACGTCAATTTTTACCCGTTAAAATCGCATTCGCGTAATGTAGTTTCGTTTCCACGACATTTCAATTGATCTACCATAAATCTCGTTGGTGGATCGAGATTTCCGTAAAATCCACCCGGTCTAACTTCCAAAGCTCCAAGATCGAAACCAAGCTCTTTGCAGATAACATCAGCATTGATCATACCAAAGCCGTCGTCACATACCTGGCCCCAATGTCCTAGAACTATCCAACAATATAGACATTGAGTAAAATTATAAAATAAAAGAAAAGAATGTGTGAGAGAGAGAGAGAGAAAGCACTTTGCTCTAAAATACGTAGTAAAAGTTTTCGGCCCGAAATAGAAGAAACGTTGAAAGAAAAAAACGGCGATATTATTTTTCAATATCATCTCTCTTAAGTTCAATACACTTGGTATACGAGTATCTCCATGTCTTTAAAAAGAAACTGTTATCCTTAGTCTCAAAATGAGTCTCGACGGCTATTCAATTAAATAGCCATAAATGGCTATTTAAAGTTTTTAGTCGGTGTGAAATCTCCTCCCTCGCAAGTCTGATTTTAATTTAGCGAGCAAATATGGTAATCGCTCGGACTGTAGACCTTACAATCAAGATTTGGCCCGAGCCGGGACAAATTTTTTATATATAAATATAAATGGTATATAATTATAAAAAAATGTATACATATATATTTATATATGATTATATATATTATATGGGTAATCATTGTTTTCCCTTTTCCCGGGCGACTTATATACTATTATTTTTTAAGTGCATGAAGATATACCAAAGTGTATTAAACTTAAAGGAGGTTATATTAAAAAACAATAATTGCTTTTTCTTTTTGTAACATTTCTTTCATTTTGGGCTGGAAACATTTCAATTTAACTATTTATTTCATCCTTTCTTTGCAACCTTTTTATAAAAAATATATAGATAGATTTTATTTTTACATATCGCATAGTTACTTACAGAAAAAATATGAAATATAAAATAAATTTTAAAAAAATTAAATCTAAATATATGTGACACAATTGAAAGGGAGCATTTAAACTAATAACACAAATAAAAATAATAAAGTCTTTGTTATATTACGTTAAAATATGCTACATTATATTTTTTGGAATTATTCTGCTACATACAATTATTATGCTACATTATATTTTTTGGAATAAAGATTCTATTTTCTGGAATAATGATTTAAGATTGCGTATTAACTACCACGCTGACTCTCATTCGTCCTGATTTTTTTTTATTTTTTGTTGTTGATGCTACATTTACTTTTTATACAATTTGTTTACTTGAATACTTTTCATGTATTCTTGCAATTTGTCTCTGGTAAAAATTTTTTCAAATGTTTTCATATAATTTTTTAGAATTTCTGTATAAACAAACAACGAGCGCCAACTGAAATCTGTTGGAGGTCATGATCTTAACAAAATATGTTATAGAGATCAACAATAGATGATCGGATCTGATTCCTCTATAGCGTATAATTGCCGATTTTTTTATCAAGGGTATAATACTTACTTTTGACTTCTATTCGACCTTCATAACTATTATTTGCACCAGCTAAGCGAATACCGTAATCAAAATTTTCAGCTGTGCAGATATTCTCATCGCTGCGATCATCGCAATCATTTTTGCCGTCGCAGACTTTTGTTTGATTTATACACTTGCGATTATTGCAAATATACATGCCATCACAGTTCACGCTTCTCTCTCTCATTTCATAATAATCGAACTCTTTGTCAGGTTTGAGTGCACCAGTCAAGCCAATGTTACTATTACTCAATAAACACACGTTACCATCCAATCTGAAACAGAATATGATATCTTTTTAAATAACTGTACATCATAAAAAGAAAATAATTAATCTCAATGATCACAATGTAGTTGTTAGGAAAAGCCATTTTGTTTTTACGCAGCAATTATACAGAGTATAAAGAAGAGAATAAATTTTAAGAGCGAAAAAAAGTTCATATATCCGCAAACCTATTGTTATACTGAGATACAGCACGAATGTTTATATTAATAGTTCATGGCCAGACATGTTGGTGCGTGTATTAAATAAAATTGAAGATACTTTGAACATTGTATCTTAGTAACAGTGGGGGTTTGCGGATATACATTTATATAAATTTTATATAAATATATATATATATATTTTTCATATTTTGGCGTAGGGATTTCATCCCATATGTTTATCCTCCCTCAGTCACACTTTATATAAATTATATATCTTTTATAAATAACTTTTATATAAAATATGCTAAATATACTACTAATATTTTTTATTATTATTTATGACTAGATAAATGTTAATTAAATAAATTTGCTAATTTAATATTTAACTAATAAAATTTTCTTTGTCTTAATATCGCTTCTCATTAGATATATGTTGCATATAAATCAATAATTAAATATAAATTAAATAACTTAATAAATAAAAATAACTTTCAAACAAACTTATGGTTAAATGAGCGACAAGTAAAATCAGCTTCTTTGCATCTTAATGCGCAGGTTTTTAAAGGTGTATTCAACCATTTCTCGACATCGTAGCCCTCAAGTTTATGTTTTGTAGATTTTTCAAAGAGATTCAGATCCAATATACATTTTCTTTCGTCAGCCCCATTTGTACAATCCTAAATAACATTACATTAAATGTTATAATAATTATATCATTGATCTTTACTTAAATAAAATAAACAATAAACACAATGATAAGTTTATTAAAATGTTAAGATTCTTTTTTTAACATATAAATTTTATAAACATAGTTTAATAATTGGCAACGTGTCAGCAAACTCACATTTTATTAGTTGGGTAGACAAGTTAGGGGAGAGGAAAAATTATGTAGAGCGGATTTAGAGATCAGATAATTAATTTAAATAGATAAATAAAATAAATAAAGTGCGTGTAGAAGATATAGAAGGATGAGCGAGATTTTAAAGTAAAAAATAGTGAACTAAGTCCCTTTCTTGGCTATATGTATATGCTGAAGTGAATAAATATATTCTATTCTATATCTCACCTCCTCTCCATCACAAACCCATGGAGATGGGATGCACTCTCCTGGCGTACATTCAAAATGTTTAGGCTTGCATTGACCAGTCAACATAGATCGTTTTGAATCTAAAGAAAAAAAAAATTAATTTTATGTAGTATATTACAATCTTTATTTTTATCCCTTTTTTTCACTTTATTGAAAAGATTTGGTATCTACTGATATATTTTAGTCAAATAGATACCAATACTTCCACAGGCAGGAATATCGCAATATTCACGCTTTCCGGTTCCTATAAAGCACCACGGTCTCGATTCTTTTATTGGATTAGGATTTCTGCAATAGTTATGCATTTCCAGTTTGTCTCGAATTTCTTTATTAACAACCTAATGATAAAAATTAAGTTATTCTTTGATTTAATGGAAAGCATATTTTTAGTGTGTATACATATAAAGGTATATCTACATTTATACGTAATTGATGTACTATTCTTTCATCGGCCCACGAAAGACATTCATTTCCTGATATTGTTACATTGGCTTTGCCAGTGTATTGATTTCCTTTCCCATAAACGCAACCTAAACAAATAAATAAATTTGTAAATTGCCTTTTTGTATTTAAGATATTCGTCATAGTAGATATATATTACAAAGTCTCTCTCGTGCATTTACTTTATGTCACATATTTGTATATTTCAAATCAATTTTAAGTAAAATTCGATAAAGCATAGCAACATTATTTTTATAGTACAAGAGACAAAAGATATTATTAAAAATAATTTCTCGCGGCTTCTTTGTGGTCTAATTTCTCATACATCCATATATTTTAATATATATTATTATTTATATATATATATATATATATATACACATTGTTTATTCAATAATTCTTTATTCTTTAATAATACCAATATCATCATAGGGCCTTTTGCAAATAAAAGAATGCCCTTTCAAAGTAGTTGCACAGTCTTCAGTGTCCCAGAAGAAGTAATCTGTGTCACAAATTGATTCAGATCGTTCATGACACGAAAATTTCCGCTTCATCACAATACAAAGAGGACGAGATCCTACCCATGGTGGTTGTTCCGTATCGTTCATCCACCCAGGCCACCATTTTGTAAATCTAACAAAATGTTTAACAAAAAATTCAAAAATATAATAAGACATAGTCCTTTTAAATTTATTTATTTTTAACAGGATGCAAATAAATTTTTCGTTCAAAAAAGTTATAATTAGCTTGATAGAAAGACAAAAGAATATTAGTAATATGTTTTATTATACATATAAATATTATAAATATTAACAATAAAAAAACGAATTTAACATTTTGTAACAACTTAAAAAGAAGCTATAGGTATTCTAAGAATCATACTTAAATTTAGCATGAGCAGAATCCGCCCAGATCCATAAGGTGCGACCCATGCTAGTAAAACCGAAGCCGGAAGTCATAATTGAACTAACTTCCGGATACGATTGCAATAGCCATTCCGAAACAAAGTTATTTTCCGCCTGATTAGTAATGTCAATGAGTCGTGCATTCCTTCGTTTGCAGTATTCCAATGCTTCACCATGATTAAATCCACTATCAGGATCAGCTAAGTGATAGCATTGACCATCATGAGGTATTTCGTCCTTGTAACAATGTGCGATACGATTAGGAGTACATCGCACACCAATTGCATCTCTATCTATACGGCACTCTTGGTTATGTGTGAATCTAAATTATTATGATTACCACGATAAATTTTAGAGTAACAATTTTTATTACAATTTGGGTCGACAAAAAACATTGCAAATAAAAGATATAGCCATAAACTTAACAAAAACAAAAAGTATTAATTACAAATATTTTGCTATTGTTATGTGCATAAGAAATCTAGATTTTATATAAAGATTATGCGTTTCGCGGGTTTTTTCCGTGTTCAGATCCATTCTTGGAATGCCAAAGTTTCGTGCACCTTGCAGTCCACCAACGAAACTTTGGCATTCCAAGAATGGATCTGGACACGGAAAAAACCCGCGAAACGCATAATCTTTATATAGAAAGCACCCGTGGAAGCCTCAAAAATATTATCAAATCTAGATATTGTATTGCCTGACCATCTTTATTCAATAAAAAGAATATTTATAAATCTCTGATAACTCATGTCTTACTTGCATGATTGAAATCTGGTTTCATTGCCGAGACATGTTACAGTATTTGCAGCGATCCAAGTTGGCATATTATTACGATTGTTTCTGCCTTGCCAAGCCATTTCTGCGCCTCTATAACGAATAAAATACAATATAGTTTGTAGAATATTACGTTTCCCATTGCTAATCATTTTATATCATCATCCCAGATAATGAAAGTTTATGATAAATAAAAACGTCGAAATATAAAATATACAGGATGTCCGGTAAGCTTTGACAAAGCGCTCGTGTGTGGATAGAGCGGAAAAACTGAATCGAAAAGTCCTCTATCATTTTACAATTTTCGCAATAGTCAACGAGATGTTAATTTCCAAAGATTGTCGAATAAAATCGACGCGAATAAGACAACTTTAAGATTTTTTTTAGAGTTCTTTATGAAATATCTTAACGAATTGATGTTTCTTAAAGAATTCTTAAAGGTATCTTAAAGTTGTTTTATGTATGGATTTTAGATATTCTGCTTATTGGATAACTAAAAAAAATTGCGGAAATTGCAAAATGGTAGAGCACTTTTCAACTTAGTTTAGTCCGCTCTACCTATACACAAACGCTTTGTCAAAACTTATCGGACACCCTGTGTGTGTGTGTGTGTGTGTGTATTCACTTGTTATTTTTTGTGTAACTTTTAATAATTGACTTTCGATTTATGTAATATATAATATAGTGGTATAATGTTACAATAATTATTGATATCATTAATGATAACATTATGTTATTAGCGATGCAATATTTTTATTAATTATAGTTGTAAAAGGCACATGAAGTGTTTTTACATCTATTTTACTTTGAATTCACTGTATCAACCTGGTGTAATATTGATACGAAATTCACTGTATGATTGTTACCAGATGCCATGTAATTATTAGGTGACGTTTAAATTCGACTAACATCAAATTCCAATGATCATACTGTTTTGTACCTACACCTTTACTTACAATTATTCCATTTGCCAATATATGAGATAAATATGCTTATCATAATTTAATGGTTTAACATCCTGCGTTGTTACCGGTAACTTTTTAAATTTATTATTGAACATTGAAAATGACCCGATAGGAGTCGAAACGTCTATACGAATTTTTAGATTGTTTATAATAATATTGTTACACACATAATATTCTGAGTGGTTCTTAGCCCTTTATTATATTGTTTAATTTATTTAATTATTCGAACCGTTATTATTTATTGAATTACATTATAATTTCTCCTGTACGTCACATATCATAGTGCCAAAATAAGTAAAAATTGCTCTCTTTTGCAACTATATATAAACGCGAGTTTCTCAAAATTGTGATGTGATGGAACAATCTGCCTATACAGCACACTTTTTTGAGAGACAACTTGGAACGACTTTAGGACGTTAAGGGACATAGGGCCGTTCTGTGGATATCTTTAATTAAAACATTCCTTGAAAGTCTGTGGTGTATAAGTGGAATTCGGATTTGTATCAACGTCCAAAAAACTAAGAGATATGACTGATTTCGTTCTGATGTTTCTTTGTTAAACAATGTCGTTATATATAGATAAGAAATCTATTAAAAAAAGATATACAAAGCTACTATGTCATTAATTGTCTTTACAGCCATTTAATGATATCGTAGATACTTACATATATAGCTAATATATAATAATACAGATACAAATTTACAAAACAGTTTCAATACAATTTTTTAAATAGAATAATTTTTCGTTTTACATACCTGCTATATCCGAGTTGTCTACATAAAATATGAGCTTCTTTTAAAGTCCAACTATTTCTAGAATCACATACAATACCCCAACCAGGTAACACACCTTGTACCTCAACGTAACCATTGCTCGGCCCAGAACCGTCTCTCAAGCGAATAATCTATTGATATATTAAATAAAATGTTTTTTTGTTATATATTATAATTAAGATTAAATTTTTTAAATTTATTTTTATATAAATGTTCTCACCTGACCAGATATAGGCGTTAGTCGAACGGACTTTTTTGAATGAGTTAATGGATACACTGGTTGCACGTAATAAACTGGGAATGACGGCTCTTCTACAATAAAATTAATTATTATTAATAAATTGTTATTAATTAAAATTAATTAATAATAAAAGGTTTATTTACTTATATTTTATATTTATTTATTTAGCTATCACTTATTTGTGGATCCAATATAGGATGTATAAATATACAATATGATTTATATTGTTATGTATATTTGATATATATTTACACGAATATATTTTTATATACAAATTTTTCCCCAAGTTATAATTAAAGTCATGCGGAAGCACAAAAAGCGAATACATGCAAAAGGATAAAACCAATTAAGTTAGCTAAACAAATTTATGTAAATAAATACATATAATACATAAATTTAATAATATAATGTATAAATAATTCTTATACATATAGTGAAAAAGTATATAAGATTAAAAATAGAAAAGTTATATTTTAACTTTTTAGTGTTATCTAATATCCATGAATAATTATTGTGTAAAAAATGTTGCACATAAAATACATATTATAAATATTTAAAACAATTAATAAATAGCGATTAGTAAATAGAAAGATTTAAGTTAGCACAGTATTGATTTTAATCATCGGCTTACAAATTCCACATTGCAATATTATTCTTTGCGACAAAGAACGATAATTTTTTATATTCCCTGCAGAAGCTTAATCTAAAGTAAAACAAATTTATTTCATTATTGCATCATATACTTTGAGTGGCATAACAATGCGCAAGAAAGCAATTACGAATAAATCCATGCAAAAAAACAATTCAAGAATAACTTACCAAAATTTATTTTTTACGCACACGTGCGAACACTCACTTTATAGATAAAAACACATAAATTTATATAATTTTTAAATCATTAACTTACCTTCTTGAAACGGGGCTGTTTCTATATTAAAAAGTTCGATATCAGTATTTTTCGGACCGATTTTCATAATAACCGATGAAGCCGTCGTCGTCTTGGTCTTATTTTCGAAAACCAGTCTAGGCTTCCAGACGTTTTTGTACAATACATCCACGTTGTAATCATTTATTTCAGGTTCTATAATATTTGGAGGTCTAAAATTTACATTACTTGTTTTCGTATCATTATCACTCCAATGATCATCTTCACGTTCAATTAATTCACTAGATAAATTAAAATCATTTATGTTATCAGAATTATGCAACTCTTTTTTTCTCGCAGTATTTTCAAACTCTCGTCCTCTTCTTGACAATTCAAGTTGTTTATTGGAAATTTTCTCTGTTGTTGTCATCAGCGTGGTCGTAAACAAAGTATAATCATTTTCAGAATCTATTAAGAAGAAATATGTAGTTTTAACAAAACATTCAGATGTATATTGCAAAATTTAAATATGCAATTATTATACTTATTAACGAAATTATGGCATAAGCAATCAATCCAATTAATTGAAGTAATTTTTAATGAATATATAACTAGCTTATAATAGTCCCTAACGCACGTTACATTAAGTGACAAATAATAACTGCCCGTTTTTGTCGATAGTTAAAGTTTAAATGAGAGAGAGAGAGAGAGAGAGAGAGAGAGAGAGAGAGAGAGAGAGGGAGGGAGTATATATATATATATATATACATACATAGAAAATTAAGAATTAAAGATATGATGATAACATAAGTTCAAAACAATTGAGCATTAAAAAAAAATCAGCAAGTAATGTGAAATAAAATTAACCCTAAAAGTAAGTTAAACGGCCAAATAATATATTTCAATGTAATAACAATAAATAATTATACTATTAAAAATGTTGTTCCAATTGATAGGTTTTTGAGTACTATGCGATTGATGGCTCTTTGAATGCTTCTGATTATCCTCAATTTCTTTTGTGATGTAATGACCTTTTATGCCATTTGCATTGATATATACTCCATTTGGATAAAAGTTTGATCTCGGATGTTCAGTTGTATTCGTAGATTCTACAAATTACAAAGCGTCAGAGTATAATTTTTAAATAATTTTGAGAAAGTATAATGAACTAAGCATTTGAGCTATTTCAGTATATATATCTTGTACGTATCATATATACATATATTTATAAATTTGTATTTAATATGTAATTACCGCCAAGCAAATAAAAGAATAAAAATTAGAAAGCCACTTACAAACCTAAATTTATTTGATTCTTTGAATTTAACAAAACATTTGTTTTTAATGTCCACTGTGCGGTTTTTGCATTTGTTTCTTTATTAACTGTGCTTTGCTGATATATATTTTTGCCAAATTGCTATTGTAATTTATCATCTTGACTGGCCATATCTATGAGATATTAAACTTTCTCATTCATATCTAGTTAGATAATAAATTTTATGTAAAAAAAATACTTTTTTTAAAATAATAATAAGCTATGAATACACAAACATTTCGAATTTTTTATGTATATAATTTCCGATTTATAAATTTAATTCTAAACGCATACACATGGGTTTCCCAAACCCAATTAAAATTTCGTTTGTTCCGTACACAAAAAAAAAGAAAAGGGAAAGTTCCGTTTTTTATAACTTAATATAATACATAAATCTTTTTGGTATTACTATGCAGATATATTCCTAAATCTTAAAACTTTAAAATAAAAAAAGGTTCTAAATATATTAATTTAAATCAGAGTTACAATCTATCAAAGTTACATTGGATCTTCTGGACCTATGGTGTGTTTCCAAAATTTTTCAGACGCTATATATGTCTGGAATTAATTATTTATATAATATTCACAACATTGATCTATAGTATTGATATGTACGATATAAATTAGGGATATACACCGGATCGTAAAATTACCGGATACCGGATATCGGATATTCGGACAGAATGTAACGTCGGATTAACCGAGACAATATTTTCTAAAAAAAGCCTATATTATAGAAAAAAAGATATTATAGCATCATTAATATGCATATTTATTTCTAGAATATTTGTATAAGAAAAAATCAACAATTTAGTGATATCAAATTTCAACCGGATATATTCCCGGATACTAATGATATCCGACTATCCGGATAGTAAAAAAGTGCCGGATAATACCGGACACCGAATACTTTCCGGATATCCGGTGCATCCCTAATATAAATATTTTATTATACTTAAATGTATATAATGTATTTATTTACTTATCTTTCTGTATACATTTTTAATTTTTCATGAAACATGTCAACATGCAATATAATTTGCATGCATATTATTACATATGTTTCTTGCATCATAATTACTAAGAAGCAATTTTATCCATTTACATATTTGTATTATTTCAATGATTCATGCTGATAATAACTTAATTGTATGTACAATTCACGAAGTTAATTCATGCAGCATGCAAATATTTACCAGTAAAGTTTGCAACAGCACATTATTATTAATTTGTATTATTATAACTTGTACAGTGTACTAACTATAACAAATTTTTTAATACAATTGAAAATAATAATATATAAATTCAATAAAAATATCTAATAAATTTAATTAAAAAATTAATCTAATCTAAATATACAATAAATACACATAAATAAAATATTTTTACGTAACAATCGTAATCACGAAAATATTAATTAGATATCATAATTTTATATACATATGATTTTATATAAAAATATGCAAATAAATTAGTGATTTATTAAAATAATAAACAAGTTTAATGTTAATTTTTATTTACCTTGATCCCACGGACGTGTTTGAATTTCCATCTGTACTTTCTGTTGATCATGCCACGTACTCGGGTTAAAAGCAAAAGATCCATTTGACTGATTCCAAGTCGTATTTTCTTGTCCTATCCAAGTAGGAGGTAATCTATCTTGTCGCGATTTATTCTGATTTGAATTTTTAGTAAATTTATTATTATTACTATTATTTAGCAAAACATTTCCAGGAAATGAAAAAGTATGATTAAAATTAGGATAATATAATCCTGATACCGTCCAATTATAATCTTGCTTAGTCGGATGCAAATCATGATCGGTCCTTTGACTATCTGATAAATCAGAAACGTTAGAAAACTTTGTTTCGTTGTGTACATTAGAAAACTGACTGTTTTCATTATATCCTTTAGAAGGAAAATATGGTTGATGTCGTCTTTGATCTGTTTCACTCGACGCAACATGTTCAAAATAATGATGATTGGGATTATGAGGATCAAAGTGCCAATGACTATCACCTGCATTTGGAGTATATCCTTGGTATCCTTGATCATATTTTTGATCACCAATAAGAGTAGTAGGATTACCGGAGTACCAATTTGGATTTACTGATGGATTTGATGTAGGTCCATAATTATGATAATGATGATGGTGATGATGATAATGATAACCAGGAGGATAATGTCTATGATCATAATGATGATTTTGATTCTTATGTTCGTACGACCACGATCCTTCTGGACGATCGGAATGATAAACTGGTTGTGGATTTTGACCAATTCTATGGTTTTCCATCCATTGCCTATCTTGAAACTCGTAATTGTTATCAAAGGATTGTCTCAAATTCCCATTACTTGGTTTCCATTCTGGACGATGTGGTCCATAATCTTGATATCGACTTTCTCTATGTGCATGGTCATGATCATGATAAATAACATGTTCAGAACGATCATAAAATGGCCTTGGAGTTGTCCACGTTGGTATCCAAAGTGAACTTGAAGATGTCGTAAATGGTTTCCAGGTTGGTTTAAATGTTGGACTTAGATTTGATCGTAATGTAGTAGAAGCAACAAGTGGAATCCAAGTACTATCTCCTATCCTGTGTACCTTATCATCAAATTTACCTATAATTCAAAAAGTATGAATTTATTATGATTATTTTTAGAATATTTCAGAAAATATTAATTAATAACAGATCCCGTTAAAAATAATTTATAATCGTTTAATTAACGTATTCCGCACTGCGTAAGTCACCAGTGACTATAATGGTGATAGACCGTCCATTCAAACTGTTTGACATTTTGGTTATAAAAAGAAATGTAATTATAAAATAATTTTCATGCATGAATGCATACATTTATAATATGTATACAGAATGGTTCACTTAAACCAAACACTTCGAATATTTTACTTATTTCTGATGATACAAAAAATGTTTCAAATGAAAATGGAACAGTTTCAAGAGGGACGTTCAGAGACGTTCACGTTGTTTTTTTTTTTTTTAAATCGAAACGCCAAAAAGATATGAAAGTCACTTCCATTTTTTTAAATGGAATTATACGATTTTTGTACATGGTAGATTTCTCTAATTATTTTGCATATAAAAGGAAAGAAGAGATATATAAAAACCAACCGTTTACGATATATTTTATATTTTATTTTAACATATGTTAATATTAAATGTTAAATATCTCGTAAATTATTGGTTTTTTTTAATATCTCTACTTTAATATGTTTATATGCAGAATAATTAGGAATTATATACTATGTAAAAAAATCATATAGTTCTATTTAAAAAAATGGAAGTGGTTTTCATACATCTTATTGGCGCTTTTATTTAAAAGATAAACAACATGACCAAAATACATCGAAATCCACTTTCATCTAAAATATTTTTTTGTATTTAAAAGTAAGTAAAACATTCAAGGTTTTAGATTTAAGGTGTTAAAAAATTTATACTTCCCCTGATGTTTATAAATATATATAAATCATAATTTCAGAAATTTTTTAACACTAACTTTTTAAGGGAGCATTTTTCTATCCATGTTTATAGGAAATGTTTTGTTTAGAATTAAATTTTCTATAAAATTTCAAAATTTGCTTAAAACGTTTACGGCTTCTGTATAATAAACACAAATAATATATTTCGGGTTACTTGGTATTTCACGTAGCGTATTCAACAAGTCACTTAAAATCAACGTGATACGGAATACATTAATGATTGTTTGGTTCTATTTAATATTGATTGTTATGAATAATATAAAATTTGTCAACACATATATAGACTTAATTACTAATATATCTACATATATATATCGTACATATTATTAGTTTTCTTAGAGATAAATACTGAAAAAGATTACGTCTAACGGAGTGTTCTAAATCAGTATGTGATTTTTTGAAATTATGTAATTTAAAAAGTCATGTAATGACATGTTTTTTTCTTCTATTTCTATTATTCAATTCTTTAAAATTCGATAACTATAAAATCACATGCGATGGATAAAATTATTTCTCATGTGATTTTTCCAATTACATGATTTTAAAAAAATCACATATTGATTTGGAACAATTCGTTACGTGATTTATTTATCTTAGGTTTCGTTATGTAACTTTATGACGTAGATCTTTTGTACTAGAGAATATAATTGCAAGTTACTTTAACAAAAATGCTAATTTGCTAAAATTAACAATTTGCATTATTATTGCAATTAATGTACCTGTTTTGCAGCTGGGTACGTTATGTGGCCAATCACAAACCGTTGTAACAGGATTGAAAGCTGTTCCAGGACCACAGTCCATTATGTAAGTAACACCATTTGCACATTGAAGGAATTTTTTACACGTCTCCGGATGGGGCAATAATCCGATGAAATCCGCAGGACATATAATTTTCTTGGCTTCGATATATTTCGCACTATCGTATTCAAAATTAAAATTTGGAGATGCGAGTGGTACTTTTTTATCAGACTTGAAAATATCTATATATAACAGAATGCATTTAAATAAAACTTTACATTATTTTTATGATAAAACAAATTATTTTTTCTAATAACTAATCATTTATCGCTACCTTCACAACCCTTTACATTACGCGGCCAATCACATATACCAATAATAGGATTGAAAACTGTTCCAGGGCCACAACTCATAATATAAGTTGCACCGTGTGCGCATTGTACAAATTTCGTGCAATCTCCATGATGTGGTAATAAACCAATTAAATATGGTGGACATTTTGGTTCCTGTAAAATGCCAAATAAATCGGTAAAATATGATCGATATGCGAAATGTATATTAAAAAATATATATATATATAAAGAAATGATTTGCTTAAATCAGACACAATATATCATCAAAGTCAATAAATTTGAAAAATAAAATAAAATTCTGATTTATAATTAATATAATAATATATTGTAAAAGAACGCACTTGCAACTTCTCTGATTTTCGATTAATTTGGAAGACAGAATCTGGCTCTTTGAAATACGCAGGTTCATTCTCATAACATTTCACTTTGTGCGGAAAATCACATTCCAGAGTATCAGGATTAAAATGAGTGCCTGGAGCACATGGTTGAACAAATGCACGACCCTTCCAACAATTGACGAAGAATTTACAATCTAGTGGATAAACAAATTGTCCTGTGGAATTGTTGTCAGGACATTCAACGCCTAATTGAGGATTATATCGGGCTATTTTGTGCTGCGATTTTCGTGAAAGAAGTAAATTTTCTTTTCGTGGTTTCTATATGTAAAAAGATAAAACCGATTAATGCAAATATCAAACAAATACGTGAAATAAAGATTGAAATAAATTAAAAATGCTTTTAAATGTTCTTTAACCTTAAAACTTTAAGTTCTAAAATTTAGCTTTATATAAACTTTTTTTATTTAAAACGTTATACATCAAAGTTTATTATACATATATTTTTCAAATTTGTATGTTATATATTTAGAGAAGTATAAAGAATCATAAAAAAAACATATAAAGGTAATATATAAAGATTTTATATCTCAGTAAAAATGTTTTGAGAATAAAATTATTAGATATCTTGCACAATATCTTGATACATGATTAGGATGTGATTTAGTTTTGAGGGTTTTGCCAAGAGATGGCATTAATGTCAGTGTTGTCGAAGACATTCCAACCACAGTTATTATTTCTTAATGCTTTAATGTTACTCCATGATATTTAATCATTTATTAACAATAGATGCAGTAAACATCGTGTTTATACATATATATCATTTAAAAAATGGAGCTTCCTAAAGAACATTTTCAAGCGTTGCTTTTGTTTTATAATCAGAAGAAAACGGCGACTGAAAGTTATAGAACTCTGATAGAAATTTATGGTGATGTTGCTGTATCAATTAAAACATGTGAATATTGATTATATCGATTCAAAAGTGATGATTTCAATGTTAATGATCAAAGTTGAAAAATGCAGTTTTGCAAGCATTATTGGACGAAAATCTAGCATAATCCACGTCAGAACTTACCAAAGAATTAAATGTTGATTGTGCAACAGTTATTAAACATTTTTTACGTGTGATATGTTGTTTAAATAAATTAGTTAGAGAAAGAAAACCCTCAAAATTAAATCACACTCCTAATACAAACGATATTATAATGCATGAATAATTCTGTTTAGATGTACAAAAAGAATTACCGTGCTGTCAATATCTACACCTTCATACAAATCTTCATTCTCAAATTCTACCTGCAGTTTTTTGTTCTCATCATTTTTCAATGATTTATGTTCAAAATCAATCTCGTTTTGAGGTCGAGTGCGAATTCCATATTTTGATTCATTCTTAAAATATCCGTAATTTTTATCAGATTCTGTAAAATCTTCGTACTCAAAAGGAAATTTCAGACTTTCTTGCTGTTCCAATTTATCAAATCTGAAATTACGCTGTTGTTCTGGAACTTTTTCAGAAATATATTCGGGAATATCAATTTGCGTTCTTTGTTCAATTTCACTACCCGAAGTCTTCCGCCAAGGGCTCCAATTCTTTGTGCTAGATTTGGATGTAATATTATCCCGCAATTGATGCCATATTGAAGAAGGAGATGTTGTTTGAACACGCGATACTTTCTCAGTTGAATGCCAAGGAAGTACTAATTCACGACGTTCTGGCGGTTTTGTAGTTGTTAATCTTGGATCATAAATCTGCGATAATAAAAATTGTCAAAATAATATAAAAAATAGTCTTGATTTTTATTATTGAAATTCCCAAATAGGTTAACATTTATACCAAATTTCTTTGATTTATTATCGTGAATAAAATCTACTTATATACTTTAAAATTAATTAATAAATTTGATTACAGTGAATGCAATAAATTACATATCAAGTAAGTGAATAAGATATGTTTAATTAATAATTTTTTGATAATTGCTTATAGTTCCTCAGTTTTTGTCGAAAAGTATATAGGTACCTAAATTTCACTTAAAAAATTAAGGTTTTGCCAATTGATATAAATTAGTCATATTTATAAATATTGTACTTTGTCATCAATATTATTATATTTTTATATATAAGTATATACGAGAATATAATAATAATTACTTATTTTTAATTATATTGTATATACTTTACCATAGAAAAAAAGCTTACACATAATTTAAAAAATTTTAGCAATGTAATTAATAAAGAGTATTTTAAGAATAAATGACAGAAATTTTAAGGAAACACACGTTTTCAGTTTTCATCTAATTATACGTTTTTACAGTCTGATTGACACATCTGGTAGTAAATTTACATTACATTTCAGACATATATTCTTATATAACAGGCAATTAATGGACGCAAGTAAAATATTTTATAACCCAATTCATCAGATTCTGATTTCAAAACATCAGATTATTTATCACATACTAAGTATCATATTATTATTGCATTGATAAAGTATATATCATTGTTTTTATCAAACTTTTAATTTAAAAGTAAAGTAAATTTTCTTACGTCATCAGTTTTAGAAAAAAAGAATAAGCAAAAATTTTGTATTACAAATTCGTATTTCCATATATATTATTCTAAATAATAATAAAATATTAATACTTTTGGTGACGAACCAAAAATTTACCAGTCTTTTTACTTCAATCTTAGTTAATCTAGTCTGCTATAATTCAGACTATAATTTTAAACATAGTGTCTCTTGTTTAAAATAAAATTGAAATGGCTACGTAAATCACAAAAAATCACTTGTAAGTAAACAATCCCACCACATACCGCGGTAGAAAAAGCAGCTATATAAAAGAGGCAGAGAGCAGCGAAGAAATAATTAAAACACGACGTCATTTTCGATACTTCCACAATACACCGAGCATCGTATTGTACTGATCTCTGGCTCTTTCTAAAATCGTGGCACCGAGCTTGAATGCTGATCGGCGTCGCTTTATCCAAAAGCAGATATTGATATACTCGAGGAAACAAGTGCTCTGATTCATGAAAATCGAAGAGTTATCAGCTAGAAGGGTTAAAGATCATCTCAACAAAAGATAGTGAAACAAAAAGAGAAAAAAAACCTCTCGGCTTGAAATATGTGCTCGCGCACACGCATATGCACGTAGAACAGAAAAAAGGATGCCGGCAAACACGAGAGTCGACACAACAAACAAACAACTGCAAACAGAACTATTTGCCAATTGACGGTGCGCGAGCAAACTTCTGCTCGTTGATGATTATTGCAAGCTAGCCTTATAAAGAGACCGACGCGAGGAACACGGATAACACGGGATGAAAAATGGATACAGTTGCTATTTCATACGGCCTTTTATTACAGTCTTTGGAACCTCATCACGGAGACGAAATGTATTTACAATTTATATATCGATTATTTTAGCTCGACTAACTGTTGAAGAATTTGAAGTCGTAATTAATGGACTCACGTCAGTATGAATGCAAGTTAAAATAATTGCTTCGAAAACGTATATATTCGTATTATAAATATAATATAGGCTCTCTGCCTTTAGCGGCTTCAGCTTGCATTTCCGCCGTTGCACATCATATAATACAGTAATCCAGTACCTGATAATACAGTCCTCCGAATTCGAGTACATTGTGTAAGATTTTCCGCCCTGAGCAAAAAAATAATATTATCCGACACTGATTTTGTCTTTGGCTTACAAAGTATCATTTCCAAAGTATTTTTTGATGCTGAAAAAAATGCTGTGTTTAGAATTTATCTATCACGTCACATTTCTTAGAAATTAGAGTAACATAGGCAAGAAATTACGATTTTAGCCATATTTACAGGGGGGTATTAAGGAAATTTTACTTTGTCAATTTCGTCTACACTAACTTAAAGTGCTTTTACTTTGCTCTTTTGTCTTCAAAATGATTTTTTTATTTTTGTATGTTTTTATTTTTAATTTTTTACGACCGAGTTACGTAAGTTTGAAATTATCACTGTCTGACGCTTACTCGAAGTCGAGACAAATCCGTGATGTGGCGGAATAATAAAAATAAAACAAAAATAAAAAAGAATATAAAAGTAATAAAAAATTAAATAAAAAAGAATATACATAAAAAAAGAAGTGTAACAAAGATCATCTTCACGTAATGCACTCCGAAAACACACATATTGTGGTTGAATAATCTTCTAGCAAGTGTCATACTATCCTCAGAATGTCAATGGCTTATATAGTTTACTTGTGCACTTGATATTAACAAGTAACTTTCTATTAAATAAATTGTCCTAATTTAACCAATGTAAAGACTGATATACTAAATTTGTACAATATGCATCAAAATGATTAATCAAACACATACATTATGTATATGTTTACAGTGTTTACACGTATTGCTGAAATTAAGATAACTAAATAGAAAGTTACTAATTAGTATCTGTATCAAGTGCACAATGTAAACTAGGGCAATGATCAAGAGACAGTAATATTTTGTACCAAGTAAACGCGCAATACGATAGCGCCAAACAACGCGTATACCTAACTTCAATCTTATGTAACTTGGTCATAAAAAATCGTATAGAAACAAAAAAAACTCATTTTGTATGTAAAAGATAGTACTTAATTTCTTAACCGCAATTCCATTCTAAATATGACCAAAATCGTCATTTTTCGCCTATATTATCCCAATTTTCTCAGAAATGTGACGTGATAGAACTTTTTTGAGCACGGATTCAAATTAGCGATTAAAAATCTTCGAGAAATGACACTCCACATGTCAAAGACAACAAAAAAAGTTAAATTTTGTCGGACAGTGTAATAATTAAAAGTCTATAAAATAATGACAATTACAAACCAACAGGAATTACCGACAATTGCAGATTGCCAATTTCTCCGAATTGGTTTTATAGATCACCAAATCCTTTTACACGATAAAAGTACGCACAAAAAAAAACGCACTAGTCACTCTAACGAGAAAATCGGGAAAAAAAATAAAAATTCACTTTATTTCAGCTCTTACAGCTGTCACCTCAGGTTATAATTCCTTTAGTGCAGAAATTCTATAGGTCGTACGTACCAAATGATACATTCCCCGGAAGCGTATGACATGCACAAACAATCCTGAGCTTGCGAAATTGTGATCGAAGGCCTAACGAAAAAGATTTTCCAAAATTAAAGTCATGTGTATTATCGACTAAATCATAATTTTTGTAAAACAGTTACTTTTTTCCTCTTTTACAAGATTCGAAAATCCTTATCCAGCATATCCTTAAAGTATACGCATTAATATATGTTTGTATAGAAAGCTTTAGGATCTCTTTAAATGAGAATAAATTAAATAAGAGAAATAAACTTATTTTCGATCAAAGCGGATCTTATAGCAGTGTTTAAATATTTCTCACGCGGAGCGAATTTATACTCAGCACAGAATATTTATGATAAATATTTATTATTATTCATTTCTTAAAATGTTATATATTTTATACATATTTTATATAAAGCTTTATTTGAAATATTAAAAGATAGACTAAATATTAAATGTAATATTTATAATAAATATAAATAAATATTTCTGGTAATTTTTACTTGAATTATAATGTCTTTTAAATATTTCCGTAGCATTTACTACAAGATTTGCAGTAAATATTTCATGATATTTATAATAAATATTTATGATCTGTGCAATCTAAGACCACAAAAATATTTACAAAACATTTAAAATAAATCTTATAAATAGTTATAAATATTTTGTAAATATTTTATAAATATTGTATATTGTCTAGGTATACATATATCTAATTCTATAAATCGTGCGCTGAAATCTTTTTTGATCTTGAAACGCAATCATGAACAAAACTAGAATAACAATATCACATACTCAATTAGTTATCAATTTAATATGGGATATTACTAACTGACCGAATCCACATGGTTTCGGTTCGAGGTTATACTCAATTTTCTGATTCCAATCCTTTCACTGGCGGTCGCAACCGTTTAGATTTCGGTCTTTTTCGGTTACCCCTCAAACAATAGGAGTAGTAGAGTAAGTCTTTCAATCATAGTCTATTATTCTTCTCAAATTCGATTGTAATTGATCAATTGCTTAAGGCTTTTATTATATGTATACATAAATGCTGCATAAACATAAGTTACATTCACAAATTTCATTTCGGTTCAAATACTTGAAATGCATAAAACATAACAATTATATTATGCATTAATTTTTAAGCATGTTTTTTTAACATAGAGTCTCAGTTCTGTTTAACATAAAGATTATAATATTATACTCCTGATTTATTAAATTATTTATTATTTCATTTTACTACTGTATTGATAGAAAGTAAAATTTATACATATATTAATCTAAATTTTTATTAGTCTTCCATATATGTATCTTACATTTCGTGTAATATATTTTTAAGCATTACGTTGTTCTATAACATGCTTTTCAAAGCAGAAACGAACGGTAATACAGAACGGCCAACTTTTTCGTTTTAGCAAGTTGAAGTGCTAATATATGTATATGTCCTCCCTCTCCACAACAATTATTTCGCACGAAAAACATCGATTATTTATCGTATCCTCACACGAAATTCACATGTCGAACGGACAACAACAGTCTAACATAGCTTAACATATATAAGTTTGTTAAAATATAACCTGTACTTTACTTACTTATATATGTAATTATAATTCATTATTTAGTTAATCTGTCAATTTTATGGGGATCTATGTTGGACGAAGGAATGCATTACGGTTTAACGCATTGATAATCTGTAGGAACTATGTACCTAATATGAAACAGCGACTTAATTGTAACCCTAGTTTTAATTCTTAATTCTTGACATTCGCGACGAAAGCGTTAATTTGAATAGCATTGAAGATAATCCTAAACAAAGGATTGAAACGTTTGCGTAATTAATTTTTTATATATACTTGAATAAATACATACCAACAGCACGTATCGGCTCTTATTGGCATGATTACTTGTGATGATTTTATTCGCTAGAGCCTAGATCTCATATGATATATGTATATGTATATGTGTATATGAGATTCGATTTGATGACGTGCCACTCTGTTATATAATCAAATAAAAAATAGAACCGTAACATCACATTATTTATATACTTTCTTATGCATTGAAAGCAAAAAGACTATGTTTAATAAAGTTTATTTTTTTTTATTGTTTTGTTTTACATTCGTTTAAAAATAAATCATTACAAATCAAAGTAGACAAAAATATTAATTAGAAATTATTGTATGCGTTTTGTTCGTTTTCAAGTTTAAAGTATTATATACTATTTTTGTTCTTCGATTAGCTATCGAATACGAATTCGTAAAAAAAAATTATCCAATAAATATACTCAAAATATTTTATCATGACAAAATCTTTATCACGATAAAAATATTTTATTGCTCGAAGCAATAAAATATCAGCACGATGTACTTTTAGCAAGAAAAAAATGAATGCAGCTAGAGAGCCAGAAAGTGTAAAAAATATATTTTAGTGAAGTACGGTTGCTTTTACTGAGTAATTTTTTGTTTTTTATTTTTCTCTGACATTTTTTATTTTTTTTATTTTTCTCTGACATGTGCTTCTTATTTGATACGTATAATATCACTGAGAATGCCACTATAGTGATACAGTTGGCCACCTTTGTAATACATTTTCGAGACTGACATGCTGTGAATTTTTATGACAAATTGAATGAAATCAATCTTATTATTAGTTTAACTGATTTTTTTTATCTTTTCTTTCAATTTTAATAAAATAATGGTAAAGAAAATGATAAATAAATGAATTAATAAAATTGACTTGAAATTTTTCATGCGATATTTTTTTAAACATATGACAATAGCAAAAACTAATAGCTTTTACAAATTAAACTAAAATAAAATATTTAACAAAATACAATTATAAGCAATTTTTAAAAGTATATATAACATATTGTTTGCATGTTTTATAACACAAC